CAAGAAACTAGACATCTTTGGCAGGAAGACCTACTCATCTGCCACACTGCAGCTTAGAATAGCAAACTATTCTGCACTGCTAGCTAACCATGACTTCGACAATTACTCTAAGCTGGCATGAACTCATGGAACACCTGCCTGACTCCAGAAGGCCCTTTCTCAGAGCAGTCATCCATGAGGGACACACTGTCACCCATACTGCTTTACTAGCAGCCAGAGATGTTGAAGACACAGCAGCCAGAGCAATGGCCACAGCTGTGGTGATAAGGAAAGCCTCATGGTTACATGTAGCAGGAGTGCTGAAAAAGCTGCAGACAAAAGTGGAAGACCTCCCTTTCCATAAACAAAAACTGTTTGCAGCGAACACAGATGAGATCCTGCATAGCTTCGCATCCTTGGCATGTACAAATCACCATACCGGAGAAAGAGGTACTCTCTTACAACAGAGATAGGGACAGCTACTACAACCATCCTCAGCAAAGGCCATATGAGTATAACCAATCCAGGCAGCGGCCCAGAGGGAGTGCCCACCTTAAGCACACTCCTCTAGCTCACAGACCACCAAACAGCAGACTTGAGAAGTTGGTTGAGGGTTTCCCAACCTCCTCAACCATCCAGTGTCAATAAGCCAGAAATGCATCATTACCTACAGTTTACATCCTTTTTTCCTGGGACTTAATAACATCAGATCAGTGGGTACTAAAGATAATCCACACAGGATACTCCATACCCTTCACGTTCCTTCCCCCCTCCCTTTCCTGTCCCCCTTCAGGGACCCCTCTCACAAGACCCTTCTCATGCAAGAAGTCGACTGCCTCCTCCAGATAGATGCAGTAGAGAGAGTACCTGAACCCAATAAAGGAGGAGGGTTCTATTCAACCTACTTTCTCACCCAAAAGTGTACGGGGGCTGGAAGCTGATTTTGTATCTTTGCAGGCTAAACAAATTCCTACAGAAACAGCATTTCAAGATTGTCACATTGGCTTCAGTAATTCCAGCACTGGACAAGGAGGACTGGTTTTCAGCCCTCGACCTACAAGACACATACTTCATCATAATACAACCCTCACATAGACGTTACCTCCGTTTCACGGTTGGGGACACCATTTTCAGGTTCTTCCCTTTAGACTTTCTTCGCCCCCCTACTTGCAGTTGCAGCAGCCTGTCTTCACCAACAGGGGGTCATCTTTCTGTATCCCAACGGTTGCCATGTCAGGGGTCGATTGCGAGGAGAGACATAGGAGATGGTCTCCAAGACCAGATGCCTGTCCGATTACCTCGGACTCATCATAAACTAACAGAAGTCAACTTGCAAACCAACTCAAGACATTGAATTAATCAGAGCTTGCCTCAATTCTATATCAGCCTGGGAATACTTACCAAACCAATGATTCAGTGCACTCTGGAACTTAGCGACTACCTTAGCCATGAATCCGTCGTCTATCATACATACCTGCCTCCAATTGCTGGGCAATATGGCAGCTACTATGTATGTTGTCCAGTATGGGTGTCTCCATTTCCACGCTATGCAGCACTGGCTGACTTCTGTCTACAAGCCTTCTTGATACTCTCTTGGGAAGTAAGTCACCGTCCCGGCATGTGTACTAGACTCTCAAGTGGTGGGCTTCACATCACAAGCTCCTCACAGGAGTTCCCCTCCTGCAGCCAGAGCTATCAGTACAAATTACCACAGATACCTCACTAATAGGATGGAGAGCACACCTGCAACAACACAAAGTGCAGGGAAGGTGGTCACCGCATGAAGCTATGTTGCACATCAGCCTTCTCGAACTCCAAGCGGTCAGGAATGCATGCAGACACTGTCATCCAGCCATTATGGGCTGCACAGTACGGACCCTAACAGACAACACAACGACCGTGTTCTACATAAACAGGCAGAGCAGCACATGTTCCTGATCCCTTTCCGCAGAAGCTATTCGCCTATGGAATTGGTGTATCCAGCGTGGGGTTGTCATCAAAGCATCTTACCTACCTGAAATCAACAACATTGTGGCAGGCAATTTGAATTGAAGTTTTACAACAGACCACAAGTGGGGACTACATCCAAGAGTTACAGAGTCTATCTTCCACAGGTGGGACTACCCAGTAATATATCTCTTTGCAACCAAGGACAATTCCAAGTGTTGCCGATTTTGTTCTTGAGCAAGACTGGGCGAGGGGTCTATGGGAGATGCCTTTCTAATTGTCTGGAACAAACCTCTATACTATGCATTTCCCCCAGTCCCACTGATCCCCAGGATCCCATGGAAAATTCAGTCGGACACGGCTCGAGTCATCTTAATAGCCCCACTGTTTTCGTTAAGGACAAAGTTATTAAGTTATTAAGGACCACAGGATGAGGTTTAATAAGGAGAAATGCAGAGTGCTCCACTTAGGAAGGAACAATCAGTTCCATACATACAAGATGGGAAGCGACTGTCTAGGAAGGAGCATGGCGGAAAGGGATCTAGGGGTCATAGTGGACCACAAGTTGAATATGAGTCAACAGTGTGATGCTGTTGCCAAAAAAGCAAATATGATTCTAGGTTGTATTAACAGGTGTGTTGTAAGCAAAACTCGTGAAGTCATTCTGCCGCTCTATTCTGCACTAGTTAGGCCTCAGCTGGAGTACTGTGTCCAGTTCTGGGCGCCACATTTCAAGAAAGATGTGGAGAAATTGGAAAGGGTACAGAGAAGAGCGACAAGAATGATTAAAGGTTTAGAGAACATGACCTATGAAGCCAGGCTTCATGAACTGGGCTTGTTTAGTTTGGAAAAAAGAAGATTAAGGGGGGACATGATAGTGGTTTTCAAATATCTAAAAGGGTGTCACAAGGAGGAAGGTGAAAATTTGTTCCTCTTGGTTTCTGAGGACAGGACATGGAGTAATGGGCTTAAAGTGCAGCAGGGGAGGTTTAGATTGGACATTAGGAAAAAATTCCTAACTGTCAGGGTGGTCAAATATTGGAATAAATTGCCAAGGGAGGTGGTGGAATCTCCTTCTTTGGAGATATTTAAGAACAGGTTAGATAGACATCTGTCAGGGATGGTGTAGACGGAGCTTGGTCCTGCCTTGAGGGCGGGGGGCTGGACTCGATGACCTCTCGAGGTCCCTTCCAGTCCTATTATTCTATGATTCTATGATTCTATGATTATAAGGCCACATCGATCGTTTGTGCCAAAAGTCAGCGCCTCCTTCCATATTAATGAGACCATAGTCCTGCCTACATTCTACCTGAAGCCTCACGCATCCCACAGAGACCCTATCCTTCCCATCTTTTCTTGTCCCTTGCAAACCATTCCAAGGGCACTCCAATTTCAATGCAGCGCATTTCCAGGTTGATAGTAGCCTGTATGCTACATTGTTACTCTCTTCGGAATAAACACCTACCAGCTCCACCTACCGCCCATTCCACTCGTGCCGCTGCAACATCAACCACCTTCCTTCATGAACAGTGTCCCCCTGAAGGACATATACTGGGTGGCCACATGGTCTTCCGACCATTCCTTTGCCAGACATTATGCTATCATGCCTCAAATAGCAGCTGATACAGCAGTGGCTGCCATGGTACTATATTCCATTGCTAAGCAGTAACTCTGAGTCCCACCATCCTCATGGATTACTGCTCTGTAGTCACCAACAATGGAGCACCCATGGGGACATCACCTGAAGAAGAAAAGAAATTTACCCTGTGCAGTAACGACTGTACTTTGAGGTGTGTGTCCCTGTGAGGTGCTCCATGACCCTCCCTTCTACTCGGAGTTTTTAACAACTCAGGTGTAGACGAGGAACTGAAGGAATGGTGTGAGGCGCCTCCTGTGTGTGCGCAGCCCAAATGTCAACTGCTAAGAAAAGCTCTGAACTGTGGCTCCAGGGACCACCCGTCACCAACAGTGGAGCACCCACGGGGGGACGCACCTCAAAGAACAGTTGGTTACTCCAGAGGATGCGTAACTTCCTTTTCTTTGTGTTAGTTTTAAATTGTATATTAATTTCAGCTGGTGTTAGTGTTCTGTGAAAGAGTAATTGTTAAACAGCACTGATTCCAGAACAGATCCAAGAGGAGCCTTGCTATTTACTTTCCTCTATTTTAAAAAATTACCATTTTTTCCTGCCCCTGGTTTCCCATCTTTAAACCAGTTACTCATCAATGAGAGGAATTTGCCTTTTATCCTTTAACTACTTACATTTTTACAAAATCAGTACTGTCCCTTCCCCCAACATAATATGTTAATCTGTGTGTCTGATAAATCTTTACTTTTTTACTATCATTGCAACCAGTTTGCCTGGTACTAAAGTTAGACTTACTGGCTTGTATTTCCAGGATCATCTCGGGAGCAATTTTAAAAAATCAGCATTACATTAGCTAACCTTCAATCATCTGATACAGAGATTTAAGCGATAGGTTACATGTCATATTTAATAGACTTACACAGTCTTAAAGATGTAACAGAACACTTGAAAATTTTTCTTCATCATTTAATTGTTTTGAAATTGGTATTTCATATAAAATACAAGTTGAACCTGTGTAGTCTGGCAGTCTCTGATCCAGCAACATCCGTGGTCTGACATGATTTTAGTTAGCTGGATGTCCACTTATCATTGGTGTGGCCAAGTTTCCCATGGTCCCCTAAAATTTGTTTACAGTCACTAATCTTCGCGCTCAGTGTCCTGTGCTGTTATTTAGCTCTAATTTACCTTCTAAATGTCTTCTAAGAGCCCAGTAATCTGTGGAAAGATTCAGCAAATCCTATAGTTAAGCACTGGTCAAATCCTAAGTGTGCTGGACTAGACTCTAGAGAGTTTCAATCTGTATCACAAGAGAATGAATAGCTTCTTCGGAAATCCTCCTCTTGTTACTCCTTCAAATGTTAGCAGTATATTATCATTTGCGTGCTTTAGTAGACTCCTTATATTAGCATGATTTATGTAATTCATAATCTTGGAATGTGTAATCTTTTTGAAATGTTATGAAACTTTGTTTCTAATGTACTTGCAGCGGCTGAAGAGCTTGATACAGAAAATGAATTTTTGCTGCCTCCTGTCTTTGGGGAAGAATATGAGGAGCAGCCGAGACCTCGATCCAAAAAGAAGGTAATGAACATGTAATACACGTACAAAAAAGCTTTGCTACACTGCAGGTTGACTAAATTTTAGATCACGTGTGAGAACTGAAAATATTGCTAATTAAAGATTAATGTATAATTTCTTTGGAATGAAATAGTACATTTGTTCAAGTAGTAAAATCAATTCAGTGCCATACAGTTAATTCAGTATAATACTTATTCAAGACTTGTCATCAGGCAGAGTGAGAAGGAGAGTGGTTGCCAGTTCATTTCTGGGATTTAATCCCATCTTTGCCACTAACTTGCATAGCCTTTTACAAATCACTTCTGCCTCAATTCTACTATTTATAAAGTTGAAATATGAAATTGGGGGTAGCCAAACTTCCTGATCATTCAAGAAATTCCATCGAGTATAGGGTTTTACTTTGCTCAGCCAATAGTATAAATGTGTTAGCTTACTAGAGCTGCCTCTGTAAGTAAGGATAAGTATTTTTCAGTTCAAAATTTTCCCAAACTTTGTTTCCATTATGGAATGTTCCAGGTTTCAGGGCTAACCTACTTTAATTTTTGATTGTTGAAACTCTGAACAAAAACAGTTTTATCAATTTTGAGTATTGAGAGTTAGGGAAAATATTTCCCTATTATTTACGCTTTTAAAAAAATGTTGCCAAACTTAATATTTTGAAAGATAATGGTTGGGGTTAGAAAAGCTGAAATGTAGATCAAAAAAACGCTACTTGAGTGGAGTCTGAGTATTTTGATGAAAATTGGTGTTTTGATTAGCAGTTAAGATTTGTCAAAAATTGATCTTTGCCAGAGGCACAATAAGTTTTACACAGATTTTATCCTCCTCCCCTCCCAAACTCAAAGTCCAAAACTAAAATTTCTCTGGCCATGTGAGAATAATTTAATAAAAGTCCCCTGTGTATGATGTAAATCATATGGGACCATTGAGATTGTTCATGTGCTGTCTTTTTAAGAAGGTGTAATGTTTGACCTGCTCTTCATTGTGTTTGCTGTTTTTTCCATACAGCAATTTCTAGTCTCTTTCAAGTAGGTATCTCTGTGGGTGCTCCATTCTAGGTATGCTTGCATCCTAGCATTGCCAAGTGTAAAACTTTGGTGGTAGTGTCCATTTGGCCTGTACATACACAGTCCTCGTACCCTGTAACCCATGGACTACCATGAGGCTAACCAGCGTGTACTGGTGAATTCACAGTTTTAGTTTCTTTCTTAACATCAAAGGACTATGAGTGGAAGAAAACAACCCATGGCCCCCTGAGGTAAGGCTTCAGAAAAGAGCTGAGCCCTGAGCTAACCAAAAAAGATCACCCACATATTTTGTATCTTTAGCATAAAGATAGTCCAAACCTGAAACTCATTACCCTCAAGGGTCTGAAGTACCATTAATGTGCCTAAAGAGCTGATGGGCATAGACACTGAAGCAACAGTACCAACAGATAGCGGCAAGAATAGATACTGTGCTGCTACTAAGAAGACTCTACCAGTATGGTCAACAGTGAACCAGCTGGCTATCACTCAGTGATAGCCCAGACAATGTTCCAATCAACACTTGATGCAGCTGCCTGGTCCATTCCTACAGCAGGGATTATACAGCAAGCATCCTTGTTGCACCTGTTTGGCTTCCCTAAAGAAGTGCAGATTACTTTTAAAGGCACTAAATTGTTTGCTGAGAAGACTGACACATCCCTCCACACACCTGAAGTCTCCAGAGGTGCTCTCCAGTCATTTAGTCTGCAGCCTCATGCATAAATCCCAGACACTACATTTTCTAATGCAATGCTATTATGAGCTTCCAAGGAAAAAATCCAGATTTTCCAAAATAAAGTATTAGCTCCTCTCCCCTGTCTTCCTTGTCACAAACATCCACTTCAAAACAATCAGTTTTGATATCTTGGTTAAGGTACTAACAGACCACTCCCCTCATCACCAACTGCAGCTGACCAATCCTTTGCACTATTTGCACTATTCTTCCTGATACCCAAGAACAAGGGAGGTGGGAGACCCATACTGAACCTCAGACCACTGAACAAATTTGTCAAAGCTAAAAAAATTCAGGATGGTCACATTAGCAGTGATTATTCCATCTTTAGAATGAGAAGATTGGTTTACGACTCTTGACCTGCAACATGCCTATTTCCACATACTGAGCCTACCTTCCCACAGACAATTTCTCAGATTTAGACCAGGTGTATACTAGAGAGCTTACAGTGGCACAGTTGTACCAATGCAATTGCACCATTGTAAGATCAACCATGTACTTGCTCTGTGCCCTCCCATGGACATAATTAAACCACACTGCTAAGCAACATAAGTGCTAGTGTAGACATAACTTTGTCCTGGGCCAGGACTGTTACCAATAAAATGTACTCCTCTTTGGCTCTCATCAGCTTTGAGAGAATCCTCTACTGTCTTCATTGTGGCAGCTCACCCTACACTCTCAGGGGTTTGTGATCTACCCTCGTTCAGTAAGGCTCGCTAGGTTACCCAAAGTGCTGCAGACTTGTTCATGTAACTGGGTCTCCAAATCAATGGCCAGAAATCAACGTTCATTCTCTATATAGTGCTTAGAGTTCGTAGGAGCCAATCTTGACTCATTACAGGCTAGGGTGCTCTGCCACAGCACAGGTTCTACGCCTGGTCACACTCTTAGAAGCAGTACAAATCAACCCTCAAATATCACCAAGGCATTGCTTCCCCCTTCTGGCGCATAGGGTAGCGGACACATCCATGGTGCCTTATGTCAGATTTCACATGAGGTGGTTCCGGATGTGGTGTATCTTGGTCTACAGGCTGAACAAAGAAACTAGAGAAACCTTTATTACTGTCCACCAAAGTCAGACACTCTCTGGACTGGTGGAAGTAGAAGGACCCAGCAAATGTCTAAGGATGATCACTTTTTTGCAACTTTGCCCACATTACTCCTCACTACCAATGCATCCCTCATAGGATGGAGCATACATCTCAACAATCTTACGAGAAAGGGTAAATGGTCCTCCCTGGAGATGTCTCTTCACATCAATATCCTCAAACTTAAGAGTCATCAAGAATGCCTACACTCACTGTCTTCCGTTAATCAAGGGTACACACTAAAGTGCTGATGCAACACAGCATGTAGGTAGTATAAAACTACATAAATCAACAGGAAGGCATCAGATCATCCTCCCTTTGCATGGAAGCACTAAAGCTATGGAACTGGTGCTTTTCCTCCACTATCATGCTATAAGTGGCTTACCTGGCAGAAGCACAGAACTCAATAGCTGACCGTCTTAGCTGCAGGTTCCCACATGATCACAAATGGGAGATAAATTCAGCAGAACTACATATACTCTTTAGGAAGTGGGGGACGCTTTACTACAGAGCTGTTCGCTACTTACCTGAACGCTAATGCTCTAGGGCAAGAATAAGACAACACTCTTTGGAGATGCTCTCCTTCTGTGGAATAGGGACCTTCTTTATACCTTTTCCCTATGCCCCTTATTATTAAAAGTCATGTTAAAAATAGAGGGGAAATCATATTGATTGCTCCCACCTGACCAAGGCAGACTTTAGTACTCTTCCCTGCTTTATATCTGTGTGTATCCGACTCTGTGGATGTCAGTGCAGATATCCACAGCTCATTTTTGGAGCTACAGATGTGGATTTAGATACAAATTGTGTATACGCACAAGACTCTACTTATAGGACCTAGATGGATCCTGATTGGCTGCCTCAAGCCTGCTTGTGATTGCCTCCTAGCCCTCTCACAAAGCTATTTTAACCCCATCACACACTTGTATACATTTGAAGGGTGGGGGACCAAGGTTACTCTCAGATCGCACCACAAGTTGCTGTCCGAGGTGACAGGACAGGACAAAGGTCCTTAGTCCCCTTAGTCTCCTAAGCTTTTCCTTTTCATTGCAGAGGTCTGAAGGTGCAGCAGTATAACTCAGAGGCTCTCCAAATGGGTCTTGAGCTGTATCAAATGTTGCTATGAGGTTTGCAAAATAATATCGCCATCCAGCATCCACACACTCCACAAGATCTTTTTCCTCCTCTTGCCTTCCTCAAGAATATCCCTATCTCAGAAATCTGTAGCACAACAACCTGGGCATCTGTGCATAAGTGTGCGGAGCACTATACAATTACTGGGGATTCTGCTTCTGATGCAATCTACCGCTCCACCATATTGTCATCCACAACAGACTCGACTCTGAAGCCTGGGAATCACTTACAGTGGAGCATCCCTAGGGACACTACTCAAAGAAGAAGTTATGCCCTTTATGCAGTAACTAACGATGATTCTTAAAGCACCTAGGGGTGCTCCACAACCCACCTTCCTTTGCTGTATTTTGGAGTTCTTGTCAGGCACTTTGTAGTAGAGAAGGAGCGGAGGGGGGTTTCCCATGTGCCCTGGTGAGCCTGGAGGCAGAACACAGGAGAGTATGTGGGCTCCAAATGGACATTACTATCAAAGCTCTATGAGCAGCAGGACAAGGACTCAAAGTGCACTTACAGTGAAGCACCCATAGGGATGCACATCTTGAAGAACAATTGTTACTTCACAAGGTGAATGACTTTCTCTTTTCTGAGTAGTCTCTCATATGGCACACACTTTGATGATTTGTCAGGCAAATAAGCACTATTGTTGATGCTGTTCTTTAAGCCTATCCTATAGATGCACTGTCACATGTTTTAATTCCCATCCTAGAGATTGTAGGGTGATACATCAGTATTTTTTCATTCCTATCAATTTCATAAAGCTATAAAATAGGATATTTGGGATGAAATTGGGAGATTGATTATGAGAGTTAAATCCACTTTTGGAGGGAGAGACTTGAAAGAAAAGGTCAAAAACGTCACTAGAAAAATATCAGTAGCTTCCTTCTATGTGAGTGGGTGGAGGTGGGGAAGATATACCAACTATCACCACTCTACAGAAGCAAAATCTTGAGATATCTAACTATGTAAGATTTACGAGAAGTCCTGTGGCACCATATAGACTTAGGGTGTGTCTAGACTACATCTCTGTCGACAGAGAGATGTAGATTAGACACGTCAAAATTGCTAATGAAGCAAGGATTTAAATATCCTGTGCTTCATTAACATAAACATGGCCACTGCTTTTTTTCTGACATGTAGCTTTTTTGAAAAAAACAAAAACAAAAAAAAACCCAGTAGTCTAGACGCAGATCTGTCAAAAATAAACCCTTTTTCAACTGATCCGGTATTCCTCAAAAAATGAGGTTTCCAGGATCTGTTGAAAAAGGGTTTATTTTCGACAGATCCACGTCTAGACTGCCATTTTTTTCGAAAAAGCTCCGTGTTAGGAAAAAAGCAGCTGACATGTTTATGCTAATCGAAGTGCGGGATATTTAAATCCCTGCTTCATTAGCAATTTCAATGTGCCTAATCTACATCTCTCTGTCGGCAGAGAGTTATAATCTAGACCCGTGGTCACCAACAGGTCGATCGCGATCGACTCCTCGATCGCGAGGCATCTTGTCCACCCCGTCCGCATTTCCCTCCCACCCCTGAGAAGCCCCACTACCTACCTCAAGTGAAAATGGAGGTAGTGTCAGCTTCCCAGGGATGGACAGAAGTCCCGCAGCTTAGCACCACTTCCGGTGATTCTGGAAGTACGCTAGCTACTCTGCCGGGTGTACTGCAGCAGGGAGCATCTGCTCCCTGCACCACACAGGAGGGGGGAGTCAGCCCCGGGGGAGGCGTGCACGGAGGAAGTCGGCCCTGGGGCAAGCACACGCAGGGCTTTCCTGCGCTGCGGCGGGGGGGTTGGCGCTGGGGCAAGTGCGCGTGGGGCTTCCCTGCGCGGGGGTGGGAGATCGGCCCAGGGGCAGGCACTCGCTGGTTTCCCTCAGGGGGGAAGGAGAGGGGTATCCTGGGTGGAGGCAGATGCAGGGGACTCTCTGCCTCCACTGGCACCCCGCTCCCTGGCCACAGAACGCTGTCCCCACTCCTGTCCCCAGCCACCGCA